CCTGGCGGACATCCGTTCGGGCGTTCCCTTGAATCGCGTGGAAGTGACGGAAAGCGAGCGCAACAAAGACGCGCACGAACTCATCCTCGACTTCATCCGCGCGCGCCCTTCGCTGCAGTCGGCGGAGCGCCGGCAGTTGGCGCCACCGCCGCTCAAACAGGAAACCCTTTACGAGAAACTCATGTTTTCCATTCGGCAGAAACACAAACTCAAACCCGTTCCCAAACCCGCCGAATGCGCGCCACCGCCCGACGACGGCTGTTCGCGGGTCGCCGACCGCGAGACGACGCCTGCGCCGCAGCGACGCCTCATTAAAGCGAATCTCAGGCTTTCGTTCGAGTCGTTCGACGACACGACGACAGACGACGACGCGAACGACGTCTCGGAAACGACAGAAGACGACGGAAAGAGATTTTCGCTCAAAAAACGTAATTTCATTCGAAAACACGCGAAAATGCAAACAATAACTCTTTCTTTAGTTTCTCGGCTTTTATCTCAAGAGAGAAGACATTCGATTAGTGTTTGCGAAACTCCGCGCGAAGAGCTGGACGTGAACGAAGACGCGCGCCAACACGTGGTGTCCATCTGGGAGTCGTGCGATTGGGGGCGCGCTCTCCAGTGTCTCTCCCTCTCCCTGCAAGAAGTGCAACACATCCGCAACGTTCTGACCAAAGGTGAGCCCAGAGTCTGTTCAACACCACGTGACCCTCTCTCCCGAACAGCCGAGTTGGAGACGCTGGCCGTGACGAAGGACTTGCGTTCGGATCTGGAGAACGGCAAGATCTGCTTCACGTGTCTCAAGACGCGCTTTTCCTTCTTCGGCCAGTGGCCGAAAGAGTGCCAGATCTGCAAACGCGTCGTCTGCGAGCGGTCAGTCCACTTGACCCCTTGACCCCCACTGACACCTCTGACCCCTCTGTTCTCTCAGGTGCGCCACCAAAATGCACATTCCGTTCGCCAACTTCGACAAAGTGCCCATCTACATGCTGTCGCCCACGCCGTCGCCGCCAGAGCCCCGCAAACCCTTTCCCGAACCCCGAGCCCAGACCACGGCCTCCGCGGCCAAGCGGTGGCGCTCTCTGCGCTCTAATGACGCCGTTCTGGTGGACGCCGCGGACCGGAAGTCGGGCCCTCTGGCCAGAGTGTGCCGCGACTGCAAGCGTCTGGTCAGACACCTGATAGACGCGGGCGCGCAGAACTGGAAGCACTGACGTCACGATCTCTACCTCTACTCTAACTGTTATATTGTATTCATAAATGTTGTTACGATTGCTGTAAATAAAGACGTAATTCGTGTACAAACACAAGAATGGAGGTCGAGGTGACGCTCAGCGACCAGAAGCTCATCAACCGCTTCGCGCGCCTCAACGCCAAGTGCGAGGAACTGGAGGCCGACCTGAAGGCCAACGACCGCAAAGTCGACAACTTCTCGGAGGCGTTGGACGAGATGGCGTTGGAGGACGACGACCAGTGGATCCGCTCGGGCGACGTGTTCGCGCGCATGTCTGCCGCAGACGCGCAGCAATGGGTGGAAGGGCTGCGACGGGCGCTGCAGAGCGCGGGCGAAGACACGCGCCGTCGAGTGGTGGCGATGCGCGACGAGATGGCGGACATCAAGACGACCCTCTACTCGAAGTTCGGCGCCAACATCAACCTCGAGTACGAAGACGAGTGAAGGGGGGAAGCGTGGAGTGCAGGGGCAGAGCCAGAAGGAGAAGTGCTCTTTTGGGGGCAAAGGAAGATGTGATGCTTTTGCGATGAAATTCACGCCAATTTGTAAATCTCTTTTCTAAACGCAATAAAGTTTCGAATAATTTGAATAAATTGGGAGTAAATCCAGATTCGCGCGATTTTAGCGAAAATGCATTGATTTTTGCGCTGAGAATGGGAGGAGAGAGGATGTGCTACGCGTAGAGCGACTGCGCGTTCGATTCTCTCCTCTTCTTTCGCATCCTTTTTTCGCCCATTTTTCGCTCGCTCTGAGAATCCATTTTCTGTTTCCATTTGTTGCGATTTCGCCGAAAACAGTATTAATTGTCGCGATTTGTGAAAAGATTCTTTCGTGAAATGTGCGCCAAAGAGGAGCGGCTTCGGTGAGAGAGCGCTTAGAGTGGGCTTTGGAACAGAGGTTTGCGTTGGGAGAGGAGAGGCCGACGCCCATCACTCTTGAACACAGCGTTTGCCAACATTGCTTCCATTGGAAGTCTTTGCGGAGCGATGGGTTGCGCCATGTCTGCCGAAGAGCGGGCGGCGCTCGCGAGGAGCAAACA